AAAAGTGTTCCAATGGTATACGGGTGAACAACAGTTCTTATTAAGCAATTATGAAAGTCTATTCAAATTTCATATTAATTTTTTCGTCTCGACTAAAATAAATTATAAAAATCTATAAATTCGGCAATTATTTTAAACTGTTTTGTTTAAGAAGTCTCTTAGCTTAATAAGAATAATATAATATAATCAAATCAACTATTTTTTTAATAAAAACTTTTAATAAAACATCCATTGAAAAAAATTATCTGCATAAAGATACATTTAGAAAAAATATTTTATTCCATATTCAAACAACATGTTATTCAATGTTCGCATAGCTTTATTTTATTTTGAAATTCTAAATCTGAAATATCTATAAGTTAATACATTGCAAAACATGGTTAACAATTATAAAGATATTCTTATATATTCCACCATCTGAAAGTAATTTTATATTGGAGAATTTATAGTTCTAAACTAAAATCTACACATAAAAATTTATATAACATCATAAAATGTAAGACACAAGTTAAATTATTTTTTAGTTACTTATTAGAAATGATCGAAGAAAATTATATTTTAATTTATGCTGTAGGTATTAATCGTAATCTTATACAGCAATTCTGAAATTGTAACTGAACGCAAACTATTAATTATATAAATATATATATTTTAAATATAATTAATACGTATACTTATATTACCAAATACAAATAAAAGTAGAAAGTAGATAACGTATTAAAAAAAAAAAAAAAAAACATTAATAAATATAAATGTTTTAAATATAAATTTCCTATTATTTTTCATACGCAATCGATTAAAATTATGCAACAGATACACGTATGTACTTGAATATTTAGTAAATCGTCGTTAGTACTGAAACGTCATTAGTACTGAAACACGCAGATTTCTCCGGATGTTCTCGAGCATTTCTTTTTCCGACAAGATATCATTAGAATGATTTTAATAATGATAACAAAAATAATAGGAACTATTGGAATCATTTTGTACGATAAATTCGATAATAACAAAGACTATAAAAAACAATTTTTGAAAGCTCACACGCAAGTTTGTCTCATATGTATATTGTGTATTACGAAGTATAAATATGATTTTTACATCAAGTGTCTAAAATGGTTTCACAAAAAAAATGTTTAGAGATTGGTGGTCCTGATCAAATACACACTGTTCCATCTCCTTCGCTATTGCTCTTTAGATCTAAACCACATTAGACCTTGAATTGACCAAGGATTTCGTTTCAAATGAACCATTTACATGTTGCTGTAGTCTCGATTAAAATGGCAAATATGTAAGTAACGAAATAAAAAACAAGAAGATAGGTATACTAGGTATACTTTAATTCAAATTATTAGATCAAAAAACCTGTTTCGAATATGAATGGAGTTTGGGGTTAATAGCAGATATAATGCCAAAATATATTATTGAATGGAAAATTATTACTTTACGGTAATGTATTACAATAAGAATGACTTACATATTCAATTTTAAAAATTAATAGATATTTTTTAAGTATTTTTTCAATTAAATTATTTATATAAAATTGATAACAAGATTTAATACTACACTATATGATATTTTAAAAATAATAAATTCTTGTACAAAAATGTCGCCATTAAATATAAATTGATATTAGAATATTATATGAATCTATTATAATGTTTTAAGATGGAAATAAATGGTAGTTAAAAGTAAAGACTTCATTATCTATATGCATAAGACGATAAATAAGGAATTTTAATAAATAGTTTGATGAAGAAAAAGGAATATGAAAAAGAGGATTTTTTCAGATGGGCGAGGAGAGATTTTGAAATGTATTTGTGAAAGTAGCGTAGAACAATCAATTGAATTATTTAATTTAAAATATATAATAGTATAGTTCTAATAGTTTCATAGAAATAAAATAGTTTAAAATATTAGTAAATGTAGTATACATTATGTCATTATGAAGTATATATATTTATATTGTATAAATTATAGGTTGTGTGTATTGTTACTTCTATCATAATACAACCATAAGAATACAGACATTAATAAGAATTAAACAAACTAGACATATATATAAATATGTATATAAAAATATATAAAAATAGTTAATTTTAATTAGAAAACTAGTCATATTGTACAACCTGCCGCTATTATTCAACTCTAACGGATCTCTGGTTAAGGTAAAACAATATTTTTTCGATGTGCAATGGTCATTAATTGTTGTTAACGCACATTTTATAATATTAGAAAAAACTAGAAACCTACATTTAATTTCTTTATCTTTTAATTGATATTAAAATTTAAAATAAAAATATTATTTATACTATTTATGTAACTAAAAAAAAAAAAATCAAAACAACTTTAAAAAAACACCATTTTATAATTTAAACAAGAGTTATAAGTATAGCCCGGATTTATATGCATTTGCATGTTTTTACTAAGTATATGCAAGTCTATGGAGATTTAAAATGTCCACGATTCATATCACACTGAATTTAAACACCAAATTTTATATTGCATATTTTACATATTTGTTCGTAAATGCATATAACATGCATATTAAATGGGTTTTAAATAAATGAAAAATTTTTGTATTTTTTTTTAAGTTTTCTATTTGTTTTTTGAGAGTAGGTAACTTCAAATGATCTAAAATATTTATTTTTAGTTTTTTTTTTTTTTTTATTTGTGTTCTTGTTTTAAAGTTTCCTAAAAATTTTAAATTGTTTTAAATGATTTTAAATATAAAGTAGTGGATATTTTTCATTTTTTTTTTTTTTTTTGATAAAATATTTAGGATTTTATTTGATATAAAAGTGTGTTTTTTTTTAATGTAACATAATGCATATAATTGCATATTTAGGCACTTTTTCTTTGCATATTTACCTCATATTTGACACTTTTTAAATGCATATAAATCCGGGCTCTAGTTATAATAAGTATTTAAACACAATATTTATAAATTATATTTGTATTGTATATTAATTAAAAATATCAACATAAAGCTCAATTATAACATTGTTATATTTTGCGAGTTCAACAATAGTTATAGCATTATCGTCTACCGTCTATTTAATTCGTTCTTTATCATTTCTTTATACGAAGAAACTTAGGCATAAAAATAATTAAGAAAAAAAAATATGAAGTTCTTCATTTAAAATAAGATTTTAATTCAGAGTACTAATACCAAAGAAACACATATTTCTGTACAAAATAACCTAAAAAAATTTAAAAGTAAAGCTGGGAAATTTACCGGATCTTACTTAAAAACATATCCATATTTATATTCAACTATAAAAATACTTTATAATCATAATATATTAAGCATTATTAATCAGATTTTCTGATAATATAAAATAAAATATAATAATAATAATAATAATAATAATAATAATAATAATAATAATAAT